ACTTTTTCAAACTCAGTTCAGGCAGTCCCCCTGCTGGCAGCACTATGGACACCTATTGCGGCCATGTGACCGTGCTTTTAGAGCGGTCACATGGCCCCTCGGGGTTCTAATTTGCAGAGGGGGAACTGTCTGGCCTGTCAGGCAGTCCCCCCAGTGAAGAAGAACACCGTTCGTCGATCGCCGACTTGTGTCCGTGGGGAGTCTTCCGTCCCCCGATACGTGTAGCCAAGAGTCATTCTATTTGGGCAAAACTCGCAAACTAACTAGACTCGGGAAAACTTGCCCCCATGTAAGTGTTTATTCATTCCAGGAAACTTAGAGAAGATCAACACATTGAGAATTCTTGGCTTTCAGTAACTCACAAGGAGTTTTTACTAGGTATTAAAGATAAAATGATGGCTTTGAAAAGACCCTTTGTGATTCAGAAGGGACAACGATGGTGTCGATTTCCTTTAGCAAAGAGTTAAATGTGTACAGCAATTTTTAATTTGTATTACAAAATTGACTAGACAGAGAGAGGCATATATTTTATTTTGCAACAAAAACATTTTTCCTAATTCTGAATGTACCTTAACATCAGGTATTTTAATAAAGTCAATCTGCTTATATTAATACATGGTGGCTCCTTTTGAGGAGTGAGTCTACAGCTAATCCGATGTGCGTCACTCAGACCTTTCCTAATTTTGCCCGATCAAATAGGGATGTAATGAAACTGACTTCCCAGCAGCGATTAAATGTTTGCATCCATAACCAGGCATGCAAATTGTATTTCGATCCTCTCCCGCCCACCCCACCCCCCACAATTCATAGGTTGTCATTTGATGATCCACGCTAATGACATTTGCAATACAGTATCTCTTATAAAACTGCACAGGCTGACTCTAATAACCTATTTTTATAATGCAATCCCGGCACGAAACATTTGGTTTAATTAATTAGCATATTTATAAGGATAGACAGTCTGGAGTGCACAGATAGCAACAGATACCAACAGCACTACCTATCTATTCATAAATAACTAAGCTGCTTCATTTCTACTGCAGTAATGAATTCTCTTTTGATTTTCTGCCTCTATAGTAATTCCGACCTGCACCGAGCCCACACATATTAATGCTATCTAATCTGTAGCTTTTTTTTTTTTCCTTTCCTTTTTTCTTAAGGTTTGTGGTGGCGTATGAAGGACAGGATTCGATGAATTCGGAATGTGCTGTGTGTGATTACCTGCCATCCGCAATTATCCGATGAGGCATGCACGCTGCGGCTGCTCGAAGGAAATATTGGTAGCGGGAGCAGAACAGGCACCTGAACAATCAGTCTCCATGCTTTTCTATGCAGATATAGAACTCGCTCTCGGTATTTGATTGTGACAGACAGAAGTAGGAAATAGAGACACCACAAATAATGAGTGCCATGCAAACGCGCTCGCAGCTCCAGGCTTTAAAGCTAAACTAGTGTTCTTAATAAGGTTTTAGATGCATTGCCTTTATTGCCAGCTGCTTTCAAATAGACAAATAATGAAGGCCGCAGTGATTCATACATGGGAGTCATACTCTATGGTACTAGCCGTTGGCACTGTAGCTGTCATGGAATCATTGTCTGCATGCACCACGGTCTGGGCACGGCTTTCCCTGTGGTTTGAATTCCACCTACACAGGGCCCAGATCCATTATTGCTTGCAGACACATAGGCCGTCTAGCTTTATATGTTTACATGAATTATTTTTAAAATAAGAAATGGTAATATTTGCGATATTGCAGACCTTGTTCCATTTGAGATTTTTTTTTTTTTTTTTATAAAGTCACTTTGACTTTTTGAAGACCCTCTTTGCCTTTTGGCATCATTTTGCCAGCTTCAAGACCCACAACTTGGTAAAAACATACACTGATCAACCACAACATTAAAACCACCTGCCTGATATGTAGGTCTCCCTCATGCCAAAACAGCTATAAATCGTATAAGCATGGACTCCACAAGACGTCAGAACGTGTCCTGTGGTATCTGGCACCAAGACATTAGCAGCAGATCCTTTAAGTCCTGCAATTTGCAAGGTGAGGCCTCCATAGATAAAACTTTTGTTTCAACTCATCCCACAGATGCTCAATCGGATTACGATCTGGGGAAAATGGAAACCAAGGCAACACCTCTTTGTCATTCCTGAACATTTTTTTTGCAGTGTGTGTCAGAGTGCATTATCATTCTGAAGGAAACACTCCGTAAGACTTGCCATTTTGGTGATGTTTTGACCCAGTCGTCTAGCCATCATTATTTGGCTCTTGTCAAAGTCACTCTTTGATCTTTTTGCTTGCCCATTTTCCTGCTTCCAACACATGAAATTTAAGGACCGTTCATTTGAGACTAATATTTCGCCCCCCTCCCCTTTACATGTGCCATTATAACACTATAATACATATTATTAACTTCATCTGTCAGTGGTTTTAATGTTGTGGCTAATCAGTGAACAAATAGAGTTTGTCAGTGCAATAATTTTCTGTTATATTCCCTCTGGTCTTATCATTGTGTCAAAATGTAAATGTTAACTGGCAAAACTTAATGACTTTTAATGTTTACTGGCATCTCTACATCTGCATTTAATTGACCAAGACTCTAACATGGTCAAAAATCCTCTTTCATTCTGATTAAAAGCCTCAATTTAATAATCTTTCCAAATCTTTCAATACTGCTAGAAATAACTTTCCTAATAATTTATCTACAAAACTTCCCATAGACTTTAATAAATTATTTGAGAGTTTGAGAGTTTCCTTTTTCTGCAATATCCGTCTTTTCTTCTGCTAAAGCCTGCCATGAATTCACGTTCTAACCCCACCGGAATGAGTGCCTAGTTATTAGTCCCTAGCCAGATGTCCAGGCCAGCTCCTCTCCCACCTCCCGTGCTGGCTGGCATTTTGATAAGGCTCATCTTTGAGCTTCACCATAGTTTGACATTTGTTGATCTACGTCAGGGCTGTTGACTCTCTCCAGGGTCTCTTGGGGGACTTTCTTGTGACAGCCCATTCTCACAAATTTATTTGCATGTTTATGTTGTGTCATACAGTAACTGCTTTAGCACTTCTGAAAATAGAAATCTTTTCTCTTTTGCACAGAGGCCTTATTCCTGAAGACACTCATCTGATAAAGCGTCTTCCCATTGACGAGGAGAACATCAGCACAATGCATTTGGTATAAGGCTGTTATTTCTGCATGAATGAGAACTATTCCGAGTCACCATCAATCTCCTTTGACACTGTAGCAGACAACCACATTACACGAAATCCCAAGGAGCCGCAGACCTAGACACTGCTCCCCTGATAGTTTAATCTTTGTACGCAGGTTGAGCTGCAATTCAGTTCTTTAGGATGGAATCATCTGTGTTTTTGAAAATCCGTAAATATGTATATACGTTGTTTTAAAGTGGGATATAATGGGTGCAAAGTAACTTGAAATATTCTTTCAAACTGCATGTTATTTTTCCAAGTTTGTACATTTCCAAACTGTTCACATGTGCAAAGAGGGTGCAGATTGTAAGACATAAGAAGACAGATCTTCACTACTTGATACGCTGTTATCTATTTATTTTCCAGAGATTTGGCTACAAAATACGTGAAAATATATTGTAAAAAAATATGAATTGATAATAAATGCAAAGTCCTTTAAAGGGATACTCCAAGAACTATAAAGCTTGTTATGGGGCTAGGAGGACCCTAGTGTCCTCGTGTCCCGCAAAAGTAGGCCATCAAACAGTTTTGATTTGACAAGTTACCTGGTGTCTGCTGAGCACTATAGGGTCAGGAACACAAACATGTATTCCTGACCCTATTGTGTTAAAAACACCATCTAGCCTGCCTGCCTCTCCCCCCCCCCCTGCCCTCCTAAATATAGTAGTATTGTATTGTGCTGTTAATCCAGTCTGCTGTTGATGGTTCTGCCCCTGATCTGCCTCCTTGGCTGACATCATCAGAAGTGGTGATCTCAGCCAATCACAATGGTTTCTCATATGAAAGCATTGGATTGGCTGTGATTATCAAGGAGGCAGATCAGTGGCAGAGCCAGCACAAGCCAAACACAGCCCTGGCCAATCTGCATTGAATCAATGCATCTCCATGAGGAAAGTTCAGTGTCTCCATGCAGAGGGTGGAGACACTGAATGTCAGTCACACTGTGCAGCACTGCCGCAGGAAGCACCTCTAGTAACCATCTGAGGAGTGGCCACAGGAGATATCACTAGGCTGTAATGTAAACACTGCATTTTCTCTGAAAAGACAGCGTTTACTGCACAATGTCTGAAGGGAATGATTCTACTCTCCAGAACAAATTCAATAAGCTGTAGTTGTTCTGGTGACTACAGTGTCCCTGTAAGTTCCCCTGTCATTCATACCTTTGTGACATGGGCTATTTTGCCCATTTCTTTGCATTAGACCGGGATATAGGGAAGACGAAGCAGCAATATTCCCCCACCTCTTAACATGTCGCAACGCTTCTAGAACCCTGTGATACTGTATATTACAGCAAATAAACTCTTAAATATTGTTTTGTTTGTTTTGTTTTGCAGAGCGCTACGGAATATCCTGGCACTATATAAATAATAAAATAATAATAATAATAATAATAAAGAGGGGTACTGAAAGGTATAACAGAGTTTATTTTATTAATTTTGTTTTTATTTGTTTTGTAGAAGAAGAACAACAAGCAATACAGTCACTTGAGTACAATCCATGCAAAATGAAATACATAGCTTGTACCGTATGGTGGGTAGTGCCTACATCTCCAATGGTGAGGTGTTACATAGCAAAGTCGAATAGAAATGGGTTTGTGATTTCACATGTAATAACTATGTTTTATTCTCCTATATGGTTTGAGCTAAAGGAGCAATTGATGAAAGCACCTGTCTGTTGGATAAACAACAATGGTTAAACATTAAAGAATAAAGGTAAAAGATAAACGTAACAAAATAATACGAAGTGCATTAGGTTAAGAGTTATTGTGAAAAAAACAACATTGCTTTGCGTATAGTAGCTACTCCTTGTATTCCAATGTAGAAATTATAGGAAATTGAGTAACGTGAATCCGACTGCATGTAAATACGGCTGGGTACTGAAATTTGAGGCTTAGCTGATATTGGGTAGTGTCTTGCAACTGTGAATGTCGTAATCTTTAGTCAACCTTAGGTCCGGGGAGTGGGGGGTACTGTTAGTCGTCCAGGTGTGTGTGATTGGTCATAAATGTTTTCCATTGTTGCCAGGTGTCACTATATCAGTAGTATTTGCCCAAAGAGGATCACTTTAATTCTTTTATTGTACGGAAGTAATCCACCTTGTGAATCAAGCTTTGTATATAAGGTGTCAATGTGGACCTCCATAAGACAGGGTTTATATCTACTTACAAGCCACTTGTAATCACTGAGTGTAAGTTCTGAGAACGGATGTATGCAGCGTTAATAATTCTATCTGTATTAGCTCTGCTCCGTCACATTCTAGACGACATAAAGTGATAACACATGGAAAAGCAGGGCGTAGATCCTACCTGGGACGCCCTGCTATAAAGAAGGTGAGAGGCCGAATAAGTCTTGATGAGTTCTATGCTTCTAAACGGTTAGACTAGATGTGTCATTTCCTGGCTTTTATAAAAAAAGATCTCCTTAAAAGTCAGAAAACAATATAATAATCTAATTATTGCAACTAAGTGTTCAGAAGATCTCAATTTACTTTAAATGCGGTAATAACTTTTATCCATCATCTCATTATCATATTCCCTAAGAATATTGGATTCATAACATCAGTCAGAAGTGGATTTTAAGTCCTGGGGTCTAATAAGAATCAGGGCTGACAAATATTTTAAGAATCATTGTTTTTAATATTTTTTTTAAATGTCAAGCGTAGCTACACAAAGCATTAATGGGACCCTGCAGGGAAGCAGTTTAAAAGCGTTCTCATGGCAGAATTAATCATAAATTGAGAATGACTAATTAAATTAACACACGCCAACTAAGCTTTCTAGATATCTTCATGGTGTCTTCTGCTTGCATAATATAACTTTATTTTGCAGAATAAGGCTTTAAGACAAATATGTAGCTTAATTCCACAATACAAATGTGGAAAAGTTTACAATATAATTAGTAAATGCAGCCATTAAATTCCAGTACCAGCCCATTGGGAAGGTAATGAGTTTTCATCCAGAGTATGAGGGTTTGCCCTGTTTTAGGACTACAACTCATTACAGTCAAACAGATCTACCAACAGAATCAACTAGTATGTAGGTCTTCCCACAAGCTGAAACAGTCCTGCACTGTAGCGTGATTAAACATCCACCCACCCACTACCAAACGATGCATTAATCCTCCCAAAAATCCACCACGTGCCCATCCACCGATCCACCCATCCATCTACCCACCTACCCAACTATAAACCTACCCACCTACTCAGCAATCCACACATCAACTCATTCATCCAATCATCCATCCACCGTCCATCTGACCCATCCACCCACCTATCCATCTGTCTAGACCAGGGGTAGGCAACCTATGGCACTAGTGCCATGCACGGCACTAAAGGTGTCTTTGCACGGCACTCAAGGTTGCTAGAGCCAAACAGGCTCTGGCCTATCAGGAGTCCCAGTGAAACTTCAGATATCTGCTAACACGAAAAGATGGTTGAGGACAATCCTCAATTTATGCATTGCAGCACGTAGAAGAAGTGATCTCAGATCACTTCCTCCCAGCACTTGTGAATGGGAATCCACACAGTAGTAGAGCAGCCTGACGCTGCTGTTGCAGCTCCTGTCCTTGACCTTTACCTGGCCAGCCTGGAACCCACTGGAACCCAGGGAAGCCACCCACACTGCTAGATATACACAGAAATGCAGAATAATACTCCCCTCATACAAATAATACGAACAGCCCACACACAAACACAACACACAATTTGTACAAACGTAACCCGCTAACAATCCACATACATGCACACAACCACACATGCAGCTTCTCACATGCAATACCTCAAATAGCCCCCACACACTACCAAACACACAATGTGACATATCCATCCACACACACAATTCCACAAGCAGCCCCCATACACAGCTTACATTCATATGTATCATACACAATACCATAAACTACTAATGAACATATACAATATAATAGCTCATATACGCACAAATATAAAGATACAAAGCAAATACAGTATAAATAACACAAGCAGAATACGGCAGCATACACACCTCAATTTAAAAAAATTAAAATAGGACCGGCACACTACGGGACATCACAATCCTACATTGGCACATTGCTGCTAAAAGGTTGCTTACCTGGTCTAGACCATCCATCCACCTACCCAGCCACCCACCCATTCATCCATGCGACCCATCCCTTCACTCATGCATCCATCCGACCCATCCATCCCACCCATCCCATCCATCCAACCAACCCATCCAACCCATCCATCCATCCCACCCACCCACCCACCCATCAATCCGTCCATTCATCCATCCAACTCATACATTCAACCCATCCTACCCATCCACCTTACTCATCCACTCATCCATACATAAATCCATCTATCCATCCATCCATCCATCTATCCACACACCCACCTATCCACTCATCCATCCAACCATCCATCCTTCAACCTGTCCACCAATCCACCATCCCACGCATCCAGCTATTCATTCGACCCATCCATCTATCTATTCATCCATCTATCCATCCATCCATCTATCCACCCACCCACCCACCCACCCACTCATCCATCCAACCATCCATCCTTCTACCTGTCCACCAATCCACCATCCCACGCATCCAGCTATTCATTCGACCCATCCATCTATCTATTCATCCATCTATCCATCCATCCATCTATCCACCCACCCACCCACCCACCCACTCATCCATCCAACCATCCATCCTTCTACCTGTCCACTAATCTACCATCCCACTCATCAAGCCATCCATTCAACCCATCCATCCATCTATCCACCCACCCACTCATCCATCCAACCATCCATCCTTCCACCTGTTTACCAATCCACTATCCCACCCATCCAGCCGTTCATTCATCCATGTGACCCATCCATCCATCCATCCATGTGTCCCATCCAGCCAACCACCCACACATCCACCCATAAATCCATCTATCCACCCACCTACTCATCCCACCCTTCCATCCATCTGGCCCATCCACCCATTGTAAAGCGCTGCGGAATTTGATGGTGCTATATAAATAACATAATAATAATAATAATAATACATCCATCCACCCATCCAGGGCACTAATCTTATTCATAATTTTTCACTGAAGCGTTTTCAATAATTAATTACAGTCTGAGCTTTTAGCTATTCAGTACCATAGGCAGCAGTCCAGCTAGTCATCAATTGTTTTATGAAGTAAGGTCCAAATGCTTGCCATCCAGTTTGTGAAATGTAACACGTTAAAAAACGTGTATACATTATAACCCATCAGTGACCAGACCAGGAAAACAGTCTAGAGTTTGGGGTTTTGGTGAATTCATTTCCTGAAGATCGCCACTGAGCAGGAATTTGGCTGAAAAAAAATGTTTAAAATATTCAGTTTCTGCAATATGAATGCTAATAATGTCAAGACAAAGAAATAAAAAAAAATTAGGAAAAGCATCTTTAAAACAAATAGCAAACATTAAGTAATGCAATTCACATAATGCTTCACAGCACATTTAAAAAATGTATTTAATTTAAAAACAATAATAATTGAATTAAGAATAAATACATTTAATATGTTTAATCACCTTTATCTGCTGTCCTTTAAATTCTTCGGAGGCTTGTTTTATAGGAGGGAAATGTTCCCGAAAGTCCCTAAAGATGCAGGGCTGTGCTCTGAATCTAGTTGTCCACAAAGAATTATTGTAAATGACTGACCTTCCTAATGACTTGATTAATCCCCTGACCTGCGCTTTGCAGATGCGCCCCCGGGGGTCTCTTCTTTGACCTTTTTTAACTTGAAGAAATGATCTCCTCTCACCTCCACTTGGTATTTTTGAAAGTTCGCTCTCGGAGATGCCATTAATCTGTTCGAAAGACTTCTTGTGACTCAGCGAAATGCCAGCCTGTCATTCTTGATCGCTAACTTGTCTTCAAGGCTTTCCAACTTGTAAAGGATTTGGAGATTTGTGACAAAGAGCAATCCAGCTTTAAATTGCACTGTATGTCTAAAGGTAAGATTTCATTATCGAAGGATGTTTTAGTGCGCTTCAACTCCGCACACATCCATTTCCAGGATAAAGCACAAAAAGTTAAACTTTTTAATATACGTAGAAAAAAAAGGTTTCAGAGCACTTTGCTTATGGGAGTTGGAAAATAGTTTTTAGTAACGGTAGTTTAGAGGACAAAAATGTGTAATAAATGTTTTATTTTGTAATCTGAATGTGGTCAATTAACACACACCTTTAAAAAAAACTCAGCAGTGCAGTCGGTATACAGTGTGTGTATATTTTATAGGCATGTGCATGGGGAAAATATTCGGCTCGGTTCGGCATTCTGAAATTCGGGACTTCGTCAATTCGGGACTTCGGCACTTCGACACTTCGGAACTTCGGCAACTTCGGCACTTCAACACTTCGGAACTTCGGAACTTCGTCACTTCGGAACTTCGGCAACTTCAGCACTTCGGAACTCTGGCATTTCGGGACTTTTCTTGCAGCCGCTTGGTAGATAACTCCCTAATTCCCACGGTATTAGGGAGTTATCTACCAAAAGGCTGAAAGACCTAAATTGGTCTTTCAGCCAAATTTACTAATACTAAGTAAAAATTACTTAGTATTAGTAAATTGTGCCCCTACTTGCTATACCGCGAGTAGGGGCATGTCTAGTAAACAGTGGGCAGCCTGTGGCTGCTCACTGTTAAAAAAAAGGGGTCCCCCCTCCCTGAGCAGCGGGTTGGGGCCCTAAAGTAAAAAGCGGTGGGTGGTGTCCCTAAACTCGAATAATGGGGGGACCTAATGTCCTCCCTCCTGGCCCCCACCCCTGAGCGGTGGGTGGGTGCCCTAAATACAAATTGGGGGGACCTAATGTCCTCCCCCCTGGCCCCCACACCTGAGCGGTGGGTGGGGGCCCTAAACAAGAATAAGGGGGGGGACCTAATGTTCTCCCTCCTGGCCCCCACCCCTGAGCGGTGGGTGGGGGCCCTAAATACAAATTGGGGGGACCTAATGTCCTCCCCCCTGGACCCCAACCCTGAGCGGTGGGTGGGGACCCTAAACAAGAATAAGGGGGGGGACCTAATGTCCTCAACACTGGCCCCCACCCCTAAGCGGTGGGTGGGGGCCCTAAATACAAATGGGTGGGACCTAATGTCCTCCCCCTTGGCCCCCACCCCCCGCTACAGGCTGCTCATTGTTTAATAGACATGCCCCTATTCGTGGTATAGCGAGTAGGGGCATAATTTACTAATACTAAGTAATCTTTACTTAGTATTAGTAAATTTGGCTGAAAGACCAATTTAGGTCTTTCAGCCTTTTGGTAGATAGCTCCCTTATACCATGGGAATTAGGGAGTTATCTACTTATTCATTCCTGTCATTACATGACTGGCTAGGTAACTTACATTTTATATGAATGTATGTTACTTGATTGTTGTAAGTGTTGCAAATGCTTACAGCTGAATCCTGGCTATGTTTGTATACGTTTTATTTGAAATTGTATACAGTGTAACATTCTTCTTCTTTCACTGGGTAAGTATATTAGTACTGTGCTTCGGAATTTCGAAACTTCAGCACTTTGACACCTCGGAACTTCGGAACTTCGGCACTTTAGCAATTCGGCACTTCGGCACTGTAAAGCCTGCCGCTGTAACCAAACAGGAAAATAGTAACCCATGCATAAAGGGAGGGAGGGACCAACTCAGCCTTGTAAGTCAAATTAGTAATGGGGATTTTCAAAATGGCCGACATTTTCATTATTATTATTTTATTATTTTTATAGCGCTATCAGATTCCGTAGCGATGTACAATGTGTGGACTAACAGACATGTAATTGTAACCAGACAACTGGACGTACAGGAACAGAGAAGTGGAGGGCCCTGCTCAATGAGCTTACATTCTATAGGGATCAGCCCAACCCCTAAACACAACTCACTAATCACCATCAGGCTCCCCTTGAGCCCCCCTCCATGCCCTGTCAAGGCCCCCTCTGCTAAGCTGCGCTTTTCTCCTTGGGGCTACATATTTTTCCTTAATCTCCGTTGTTTAGTAAGTAGACACATCATTCCTTTTTATGGTTAGTTTTCCTCTACTGAAAGTCAGTTGCAATTTTCCAGAAATTCACGCTAAACATTTGCATATCCTTGTCACGTATCTTTTTGACAATAATTATATACGGATGTGCCATGCAATGTGCATATATGAATGTGTAATTCAGATTTCGATGTATATCATGTCTGAAAAAGGCATTGAAATCCTATACTGTCATTCAAGTCAGTTAGTTAATAAAACTATCACCTTTATTTCACTTTTCCTGTCATATAACTGTGTGATGCTAATATATGTCCTGCAAAGCACGTGTTTGTATAAATGAATAGGTTCAGCTTTTAATGAATATCACGGCAGATGACAGCTCTAAACGCTGGAAATATCACGCAATTAGTTCAAGTGAAGCTGTCACTTAAAGAAAAAAAATCCCAACAAAATTATATTATTTATTAGGAAATGATGGTGCACACGTTTTGTTGTTTTTAAACAGGGTCAGTGCTCTCAAAGCTTTTAAATATCACAATGATTTTTTTAGACAGCGTAAAGTGCCACAGTGTAGCTACGATCAGTTACATTCAGCAGTCAGTGTACAGATCCGTGATATTTACTATCGTGGCTCACACACTAGATTCCACCAGTCTTAGTGCAGATTTAGTGGGTGTAAGTTTTCAGTTATAGCTGTAAACAATAACGCTTTGGGGGACGTTGTAATCTAATTTTTATTGTAACATTAAATATGTTGTTTTTTTGGTTGTTGCACCTTTCACACCTAACCATCACCTCTGAATATTTGTCACGTTTTTCTGATGATGCAACAGATTTATCAATCTTCGATATACTCTTTCCATCTGACAAGTGTCCTGTTTCGCTGTTTTTGATATCAATCTATATTTGTCAGATTTTGGCTTTAAA